GGGCTGCGGCTGCCCTGCCCGCCCGGGACGCGGCGAGAGGAGGGGGAGGAGCTGCTGCTGCTGCCACCTCCCGCCCTCCGCGCGCTGGGCAGCGCTGCCCGAGCCGCCGCCCCCTCGGGCTCCCGCCCCCTCGGACTTCAACCCGCCGCGGCGGCGGCCTCGGACACGCACCCCGCGGGACGGCCCCTGCGGAGAAGGGCCACACACGCTTCGGCCCCTCTTCTTAGGGAATTAAACTGTCCCGTCCCATTGTCACTGCTGGTTTATTTCATTGCAGCCTCAAGTGCTAGCTGAGGCGAATGGAAAGAGGGCAGCTGTACTGCAGGAGGGGCCACAACGCGGGGACTCGCCCGCCTGCTGGGCGGTAAAGCGGCTTGGGGTCCTGTGGTGACCAGGTCTGGGGCTTGGTTCTCTTGCAGCAGTTAGTCTCCGAGGAGCCTTCCTGCCCTGCCTGGTGCCTGACTTCAAGCAGCGATTCCATACGGGAGGTGGGGGCCTCTGCTTCATCAGTATCAGATCCAGCCACTGGCGTTCCCCAGGGGTCTGGAAATCTGGCAGTGCAGGAGACAATGAACAGGGCCACCATTTCCTCACCAGGAAATGTCCAGGCCTCATGCAATGGGATCGGGCCTATGACTAGATCTGACCCAATGGAGCAACCAGGCACCCCCCGTTCTGCCCGTGGGAGCAAAAGGTTGGGCACTTTTGCGTAAGTCTTGTATGTGGAATCCTAGTCTGGAAGGGAGCCCCAGAGGTCATCTAGTCCAACTCCCTGCCTCAGGCAGGGTCATCCCTATCCAGACCATCCCATACAATCAATCCATAAACTAAACTCTACATAAGACTACTGTCAATCCTGACACAACACAGACCTAACACCCTGAGCTGTCATGGGTTAAGCAGGGAAACCAGGATAGCCTACATCCTGCTTCTATGAAATGTTGATATATGCTTAAGAGATCTAAGGTAGAGGGCCACCCCCATCCCACTACAGAGGAAGGCAAAAGCCCCCCACAGTCTACCAATCTGACCATGGTGTAAAATTGGTTCCTGACCCCTTCTGTGCTTAGAGAAAGAGAGAAAGACCTTTTCAGTCAAGCGTGCTACCACTTTTAATCCAGAAAAAAAAGTGTGCGCCCAAGGTCTCAAACATTTTGGAAACACTGCTTCAAACTAACGAGATGAACCACCTCTCTTCACTCATGGATGAACGTAGTGTGAACAATTATACTTAGAATTTTTAGCTACTTGAGCCAAATCTTGTCGGTCCCAACACTTTGGTGGCTTTTGCCCTTTTCCTGACTAGCACTAATAACCCCTTCTGCAGTGACTACCAGTACTGAAACCACCAGCACCAAAATGACATTGTAGAGTCAAGGAGGCCTAGTCAGCAAAGCATTTGGGTATGAGTACAGGAAGGATTTTGCTGGGTCTGTAGCTTACACAGAGGTGGTATAAGAGCTGATTTGCTCTGTGAAGGAATAATTAGGAGTTGCACACATTTGGAAGGACTGATACTTAAAGCAAGAGATGAAAGAGTTGAAAGTCTGGAAAGCAGGAGTTGGAGAAAATCCAGAAACAAGAGCAGGGGCTGGCAAAGGAGGCAGTTGTTTGTGTGGCTTAGCTGCAACTAGAGTGACAGGAAGAGAGTGAAAAGAGATCAAAGCAGGGATTTGGGCTGAAGGTTACTGGATATTTTAAAATCTTCCTCTTCCATTATTCTTCATTACCCTCCCACATGGCCCCAAACATTTCCTGTAGCACTCTCATTAGTGCTCAGTTCCTCAAGCGAAGATACTTTTACGAAAGCTCTAAGAAAGCAATGAGCTCCCACCCTCTCCCCCCACCCCCGATAGAACCTATAAAACCACTGGATTTTAGTCATTCATAGAAAGGAACACGTTAAAAGGAGGAGGCAACCCCCTCCCATTAAAAATGAACTACAAAATCAAAAACTTTATTGGGTTACCCTATACTGCATATGGAACATTCCATCTATCGTAGATATGACACTTATAATGCCATCTTGACCAATAATGAAATTCACACAAAATTCTAATTAATCAGTATTTCTGAAAAATCTTCTCTCAACATTTTAATAGCTGTTCTATTTGAGTCTTGTACCACATTTAGAGCATGATTAAAAAAGAGCTATAGATAGCAAAAATGATAGAGCTTGAAAACACAGGACAGATCTGAGAGCAAGTGTCTTTGAATTCACGCCTACCTATCAATGAAAGTTTCATAGCATTTAAGAGAATTTTAAATGGAATGCCAAGTTACAGTTGCGGGAGTGGGCAAAATTAAAATAATTGCTCTTCTAGAACAAGGATCACTGTATTATCTGGTTTGCCAAAGTCAATGCCATATCAGAAGGCCTGAGAAGATACCAGTTATGGGTCTGCTTCTGAACCTATTTAAATAGATAATAGCAAGGGCTGGGTTGGGTCTAAAGAGGGCAGGTAAGAGTGTTAAAAACTTTCTGACCTGTTGTAATCTTTCTGAGTTCCTTGCAGCAGAAGAATTGCTCTGTTATTTTCCTGTAGTCAAACAAAAAATGAAAACTAGAAGTTGACACTTTCTGAGGAGTGCCTTGACTCTAAAGAACTTTAGAATTACTGGTTTACACTGTGCAGGGGCTCTTGCAGTTAATGGGACTCTGCACATTGCACTGACTGATGCGCCATTAGCTGCACCATCAGGGAACTAGATTGTACATTCTCTGGCACAAAGAACACATATTGCACTTTTCTGCTAAGCCCTGTTCACATGCATGGCATTCAGACAATAATACCGATAACCTCCTGCTTTGATAAAAATGGATTCAAGAAAAAATGTATATTGGGATTCCTTATACCATGTCCTGCAACATGAAACAACTTTCAGATGTAGCTCAGTTTTCAGGCCTATTAAGTTTGACAGTGCCCTCTTATATTATTGTTTCCACATGTAATGATTGATAAATTGACTTCATATTTTGATTTATTTTGCACTTTCAAATAAAATAAAATTGAATCTGAAATATTCTCACAAATGTTATTTAAAAAACCATGCCTGCTTTACCAGTGCATCACTAATAGGAATAAGAAAGTATATTTTAACTTTTTATTAATTTGAAAGTAATCCAGATTATTTCACTGTTTGTAGGTTAGTTGCTTCATGCAACTGAAACACACTTAACTGAGACATTTCTCATGAAACCTATTCAAGTGTAATGATAAATATATAGGCTTCTTTATCCAGAAAATAACTTATCTTTACTTATCCTCATTAAATTATGTGAGTGAGCTTGCTAATGTTTTACTTCAAGTGTCAATGACAAGTTAAAGGTGAGGATTTTTATAGGTGTTATCTTTTACTGGAGCAACCATATAGTTAGGACAGATCTAGACAAGCTTTCAAATGCAATGGATTCTTCTTCAAGTCACTTGTTCATATCCAATAAAAGATGTCACCTACAAAAATCCTTGCCTTTCATATCTTGGACCATCACAGGTTCATCACTCCAACACGACCGGTGGCAACTAAAGATGCATCACAAGGAAAATATTCACTCAGGGGCCCATTGCACAAGTCAATTTATGCAGAGCTGGGATTAAGACAGTGATTCTCAACCAGCATCAATGGGGTGCCTTGAAATCTTTTCAAGGATGCTGTGAAGCGGTAGGCAATGTGAGAACTCTTAATTGTGAAAACATAATTCAAAACATAAATCCAGAGATTTCCAATATGAATATACAAAGTTAGACCACAGCAGGTCAAAATGTTTTTTTTCTGATATCTTTGCAACAGAAGAATTACCCTGTTATTTTGTATAGTCAAAAATCTGGTGAAAACTAAGAGCAGGCATTTTCTGAGGAGTATTTTGAATCTAGCAAGGGGTACCTTGAGTCTTTAAAAGGCTGAGAATCACTGGATTAAGATGAATAGCCTAAAGAGTCTAAAAATGTGTTACAGTTAAAATTTGAGAGGTTAAAAAATAAATAAGGCTATCACCACCCTCTCGGGCATTTCTTTTTATCTTTCATCAATCTATGGATTACATCCATAGTGGCTTACACTATGAACTGAATGATTGACTGCCAGAGCTAAGAAGGCATAAGTCTACAGCTGAGCTAAACAGCCAGGCCGGCCTTGTACATGGGAGCTGTGAACCCTGCATGGAGTGGATTGTGTAACATGCTGATTTGTAGGGTTACACTTACAG